TCTCTCTTATCTTTCCTGAGACCCCTGAATTGAAACCCTAATGAACTTCTTGGGTAGTCACTGAAGGTTTATGAGGAGATAATTTTAGGGTAATGCTATTTTCCCCTCTCAATCCTTTGTATATAGAAGTAGGTGGTTCACCCTTTGTGGAGTTAAGCTTGAGCATCACATGAGTGATTAATAACTAAAAATAGGATTATGGTAAAGAAGTGTATGCTGTAGGGTCATACAGGCATAATAGAAATTAGAGTGTCAGCCTTGAAAATAACAGTGTGGGAGATGAAATACCTTATTTCAGTAAGAATTTGAAAGAATATATGTTGTTAGATGATTCCTATTTTCTTGATGGCAAGGTCTTTTGCTGTGGAAATAGCAGAGTGTATTTGGCATTTCTAAAGAAAGTGATTTGCAAAAGTCTGTTATTAAAGATAAATAAGATTATTGCTGAGCAGCAAGGACCACAGAGTGGCTAGGGTACAAAAGTATATTAACTATTTCATTAGTCCAAATCTGATTTTAAAAACTAAGTTCTTGGGGGAGGGGCACATAACATGTGTGACATAATAAAAATACATATATTTGGTCTCTGTCCCTAGTTCTTGGCAGAGTGCTTCTAAAACCCTTAATTTCTTGAGTGATAGGGGTGCTAGTTTCATTTTTGATCTATTATTTGAACTTTGACCTAGGTTCCTGACACAGAGCCCCTAATGAGGCAAATCTTGGTGGGATCCTGTATTAGGGACTTGGCACCAGAAAGACCAAGCTATGATTAGAAGCCTAGAACTTTCAACCCCATGCCTCGTCCTTTGGGAATGGGAGAGGAGCTAGAGATTGAGTTAATAATCAGTTCATGCCTACATAATGAAGCCTCCATAAAACTCCTGGAACTATGGGGTTTCGCGAACTTCTAGATTGCTAAACAAATAGAGGGTAACATACCTGGAGAAGGCATGGAAGCTCTGTTCTCCTTCCTCCATGTCTTGCCCTGGGCATCTTTTCCATTTGCCTGTTCCTGAGATGTATCCTTTTATTAAAAATGAGTAAACAGCTGGGTGTGATGGCTCATGCCTGTAATTCCAGCACTTTGGGATGTGGGGGTGAGAGGATTGCCTGAGCCCAAGACTTTGAGACCAGCCTGGGCAACATGGCAAGAACTCATTTCTACAATAAATCAAAAAAATTAGCTGGGTGTGGTGGTGTGTGTCTATGGTTCCAGCTACTTGGAAGGCTGAGGCTGAATGATTACCTGAGCCCAGCCGGTTGAGGCTGCGGTGGCCATGAACCTGCCGATGCACTCCTCCAGCCTAGGTGACAGTGAGACTCCGACTCAAAAGAAAGAATGAGTAAACATAAGTAAAGTGTTCCTTTGAGTCCTGTGAGAAATTTAGAAAATAGTTAAACTAAGGAGGGCATTGTGGAAATCCCCAATTTATAGCTGGTTTATCAGAGTGGGGGAGGTATGAACTGAGGATTGGCACCTAAGTGGGAACAGTCTTGAGAGACAGCCCTTCACCCGTGGGCTCTGATGCTAACTCCAGAATGATAGTGTCAGAATTGAATTTTAAAACACACAGCTTGTCAGGCTCGGTGGCTCAACCTGTAATCCCAGCACTTTGGGAGGCTGAGGCGAGAGGATTTCCTGAGCCCATGGGTTCGAGACCCACCCGGGCAACTTGGTGA